TCCTCTGTATATCTCACATAAATTTCCCCTCTTTCAGTTTGAACCCATTAGTCCTTGTCCTGGCACTGCACTTCCTGACAAAATGGGAAACTTCCTTTATATATTCTCTGTATATATCTCTATGTTTTATATAAACATATATTTCTACATTCCTCCTTCCTTGGAGGGGAAAGCTGAATGCCCCTGGGCCATGCCAGCTCCAGTCACACACATCAAGAGTTCAGTGCGAGACCCGGAGCTCTCCCAGCACCCACACTCCTCCCTGAAGGAACTGCAGGGCTCCTGGAACCAGGACACACACACAAAACAGGCCAGTGTTTTGTCCCAAAGCTCCCCAGGACAGAGCTGCGGACTCCAAGAGGCTCGAGGTGTTAGAGCAGCAGTGGAGGAAAGGAAGGAGTGCAGGAATGTCACAAAGCAGGGGGAGAACATCCCAGCTGTGCCCTGCACACTGAGTCACGGGAATAATGCAAAGGCAGAAGAGGATTTCAGCCAGCAGCAAGGTGCAGAGCAGGTGTTTTTGTTGTTCCAGCTGCAAAATGAGGATGGTCCCACAAAGCTCCTCCCAGCACCTGAGGGACCCCTGCCTGCTCCTGGCCACAGAATGAGCTGCAAGAACCAGGGGTGCAGTCTGTGTCTGAAATTCCACCATGCATTGTTTACATCATGCTAGGTCATAAACTCATGCAGCACTGTTGAAATAAATGAGGAATTATTAATTTTTTTATAAGGAAAAGAGGAGCAAGGAATATGTCTCAACTTCTTGCATTTAAAGGTTTTTCTATTGATAAATTACAATCTTCCAGCCTGTATTTAGATGCAGGTTAAATGCCAGAAGTCAAAGGCTGTGAGAAGATTGGTCTTAAAACAGTTTTTCATTAAAATACTTATTAGAAAACACAGGAAAATGCACCTGAGAGTCAGAGGCTCCTTGATCTACCATAGAAAGGCATTCCAGGATCCAGGGACTGAAATTTAAACTCCAAAGTAAAGTGAAGTTAAAGGTGGAACAGCTCAAGGTGTAGGCTCAGCACAACTCCACACAGACAGCTTTGCAAGGATGTGCCCTAAATTATACACCTTAATACACTTCAACAACTTCAACAGATGTAGGACTATTCCCTTTTTTATAAACACCAAAATAAAGCATTTTCTGGCCTTAAAATTCACTGATTTGTCTTCAGACAACAGCAAGTTACGCAAACTGCACCACTTAACAAAAGAAAATACCTAAACAAACTTCCCAGTCTTATCAGAAAAGTGTTAGGAAACAGTTTAAAATAGAAAAATGCCTGTTTCCATCCTCTCAGTTCTCTGGCAGCAGCTCAGAAAATTAAGTCATGGTTACTTTCCTTCCTGGAACAGCACCCCTCGCTCTCCCCCTAATGTCAGCACTGCCCCCGAGTCAGCTCTGCTCACACCTGGCAGGGCACAAAGAGGGACCTGATGAAGTGGAAATTAATTGAGCTTCATCTTTTTCATGGGGATGCTGTATCCAGCACGAGGTTTTTCAGGTTTTTGTTTCGTTTTGAAAGTGCTGGTTGAACTACAGGGCATAGTTCAGGGATCCCAGGGGTTTGTTTTGGTTTTCAAGGCCCAAAGCACGAAGGAATCTTCATAAATCGCAAATACAAGGCAAAGATCCTACAAACACTCGCAGGGAATCAGGGCTTCACTTTCAGATGGAATTTTTACAGCTATGCACACACACTAAAGTTTTTATAGTGATATTATATTATTATTATATATATATATATATATTACATTTATGTAATGTTTTTATAGTGAACTTTGCCATTAAACAATTCAAATTCTAAGCTTTTCAGATGTGTACAGTGAAGCCTGAATGCAGTGTAAGGAGGACTCAATATCCCACCACTGACCTCAGCCACAGAGCACCTGGAGATTCCCTCAGGTCAAGGTAGAAGGGAACTTTCCCAGAATCTGAAATTCTTGGACAAGAATGAAAAGAAACTTGAAGACAATCCTCAACTCCATCAAAATGTGATTTACATCAGAATAATCCCAGAGAAAAGAAAGTGCTGCCTTATGCAAGGTGACCTTGTATTTATTCTTGCATTACAACTAAAAAGGTTTTGAAAAAATTCAAAAGTTCAGGCCCAAGTTTCATTGTGAGTCCCAGAGAGAGAGAAACTTTCTGAATGTAGGGTTTATAATTTTCTCTTATATCTCTGCAAAAAGAAAATCCCATTTACACAAAATTCTGGATTTACAGATTAAAAATATAGAAAAGAATAACTAAAATGGGTGGTGCCAGTAATCAGAATGGTGCCATTCCCACTTAGAATGAACAACTATCCTCATGATAAACAGAAATAACCCGTGCTCTTGAACCAGGAACATGGAGGCAGATTAACAATTAGGGTTTATGTCCCTTACTCTTTAATCTGCAAATTAAACACAATTAGGAAACAGAAAAGAAATACAAGGAATACAATAGAGTTGACCAATCATACAAAATCTCAGCAATTCTACTTTACATTTCATATGCCACCACATTATTTTCCTTTCAGAGTTTTCCTGGACAAGGTGCTGGAGGACTTGGAGAAGGTACACAAGGCCAATCAGGGGGGATATTTTTATTATGCGCTTCAGGAAATGAAGCAGATGATCCCAGGCCACTAAAAAACAAAACAAAAACAAACCCAAGCAACCTTTCAAAAAAATTATTCCAGTCTATACAATGTTCATGTCACCCAGAACAAAACAGTTCCATAAAACATCTTAAAAAGCAAACCTGTAAAGGAAAGGAAAGAAAGACAAAAGAAAGGCGCAACATGAAGCAAATTCAGACAACCACTTTTGTGAGAGCTTTAATGGCACAAAATGTTTATAAGCTACAACTTATACATGTAAACTGTATATAATGTTACAAAGTGCTAACTAATTTATGAAGAATGCATAATCACTTTGGCTCAGTTAACTCCAATATTTCAACAAATGTCAATTAAAAAATTTGAATTTCTAACAATCTTCAGCTTTCACTTTTTAAAACAGTAAGTAAATATGCATTTGCTGCAGTTAGGTCAGCCTGCATCTTTAATGTGCGAGTTTATGCATTTTTTCTTGATCCTATTTACAAATAAGTCTAGGCCAGTTTTCACTGAATGTAAGAAAAATGAAGCCTACTTTTTTATTTTTTGTTTTTTCGTCCAAAACTGTAAACAGGTATAAAGCTTTTTAAACAACATTTATCTTAACAAAACTTCAACTCTCAATAGTTGAAACCCCTTTTTGAATGATACAACACTCTGTTCATTGTAAAACTGGAAGTTGCAGACTTTCCTCCAAAGCTTAGAATAGGGTCTCAATAAATACTGCATTGTATCCCAGGCAGTGTTACAGTGACCACGGGGCATTCCTCAGCTCTGGGTTTCACAGGTTTTACTCCAAATATCTCTAGTGGTCTTGATACTCCAGCCACAAGCTTGCAATGTTATTTATCAGATATTCTGGAGAATTACCTTTTCATATAGAAAGGGGTAATTTACTGGGTTTTTCTCTTTAAAAATTATTCCCTACTTAGTAAAAATCTCTTTTCCCACTACTCCAATTTCATACAAAACAAGGTGCTGGGTTAGAACTGAAAGTGGTCCAACCATTCTCCCATCCTGTCTGATTTTAGGGCTGTAAAATGAAATATTTGATGCTCTCTAAAATGCCCTCCATCACGTTCCCCTGCCCACCCCCACCTCTGGGTGAAACCCAATATCCACACCCAAAACAAACCCGCACTTGTGGGCAGCTCAAGCGCCACTAAGTATTCACAACTAAAAGAGAAAAAAGCAAATTACTCAAGAGGATTTGTTGTTCACCCTGAAAGCATTCTCTGACAGCATTCAGAAGTAGAGAATGAAAATAAATAGCAGTGGATTCATACTTTACTTTTTCACTTCCTGGGAGCTAACCAAATCTCAGCTGGGGTTTAGCTTCTATGCATCAATTGGTTCAAGCAATCACTGCTCTATCAAATAATCAACTTTATAAAGTCTGATGCAAGCAAACAATTATAGGTAGCTGTTTTCTCCAAATGGCTGACTAGCTTTTCTTATTTTCTACAAGTCAGCCTACTAAAGTTTTTATTTAAATGAGATTTTTGCTAGTCTTAAAATTAGCATTGGTTCCCTAAATACTTAGTATTAAAGTCTATATCATATTTTTATATATATATTTATATATATATATATAAAAAGAGTATTCTATCCTTCAGAGTTCATGCTACATGTTCTGAAATCCAATAAAATCTATTTAAGGACGTGACTGTCCCGATGCTTTGTAACAATTTGGTACTAAAGCTTCACATTTTGAAAAGAAGTGTCACTGAAGGAGGACAAGGCTTAATGTTCCCTAAGATAAAAGTTCAACAATATCAGTGAGAAATCTACCCTAACATGAGACATCACAAGTGACTTTCAGGTTCCAAGTATCCCCAAAAAGGAGATTGTACAGTAAACAATGAGAGAGAGGAATATTGAAAATTCATTTGCAGAAGACATTTCAGAGCTTTCACAACTTTTGAACCTTTATGCACCTGCAAGATTGTCCCCCTTAAGGATGAGTCAAACACTTTTCCTGCCAGATCTTCGGAGCTGTAAATGGTTCCACAACAAACAGAATCATTTCCTTTTACACAGAGCCTACCTACACTACAGCTGTTGGGTTTTTCCTTAATTTAGAACTACTTTGAAAAGGAAAATTTCACGCTGAAAATTTTCCCTTAACAGGTAAAGAAAAAAAAAAGCTTCTTCACATGCAAACAATGCAATTTTTCTAATATTTCCTAGGTATCAGACAGGTTTTCTTACAAGGAATAAGGAGCTGACTTCATAGAAAAGACAAGATTACAACAATTACCTAGTATTAAAATATGCTGATGGATTTAGTTATCCTACTTTCAAATTTATGCAGTCTTTGCCTCCTGCAATTCAAATGGTGTTTGTTAGCCAATAAAAGGGGCCGAGTAAATTCCCCCCAAAAGCTGATTTAAACTGGATCTTTATTGCCAGTGATTTCTTAGTTTATTCCATAACCAGCTTCTTTTTTTACAGAAGAAAAACTCTTTTCCACTCCAATCAGTAATTTCCTTCCAAAGAGACTTTTATCACCACCATGCAGTCAACACTTAGACCATGCACAGCTGCAACCGAGGTCAGGTTGCACTAAGGAGGCAACAGCATCACTGATAAAATTAAACTTGCTGGTGGCATTTTGCATTGAGAGAAGCCCTTGCAACATTGAGACAGTTGTAAACTCCATCCAGCAACTCTGACGTGTCTTGCAGGCCAAGAGGCAGGGGAATGGGAGAGAGGGAAAGAATGTGGATAGCCAAACACCTCAACAGAGTTCCAACACAATACTGAATTCCAGAGTTAGCAAAAACCTGGATATGGAAGGAAAGGGTGAAGTCAGGGTCATGCTTAGAATGGTCTCAAGTCAAATGTACTAAATGAGACAGTAACACCTTCACAGGTCACGTGGGGTCCAGGTTTGCTCTCCATGATTCAATAAGTGCTGGCTGAAGGTGTGGTCAGGCGCTTCCCAATGTAGATGCTGAAATAAAAAGGATATCGTATTGCACAGGAATACTCCCTGCTTTCCCACAGTCCCCACACACCCAGCTGCTCTAATCCCTCTCTCGAGTCTGAGATCCATCCACAGACTTGACTTCTCTTCTATAAAACTACTCTCAGTGAGGTTTTGCATGAGTCTGGAAAGATCAATGCTCTCAGTACTCACCCACAGTGGGTTTTCCTCCAGTCCCAGGCTCATCTGAAAACCCCAATCCAAAAGCTTTTGTGTTTTGAGTACCTGACACAGCAACACTCCCAGACAATTGGGGTGAAACAAATCAAGTGCTGCCTATAGAGATGGGGGTGAGCTTTGAAACTCTGAGCATTTAGGATCTACGCAAGCACTGACCACGAGCAAGATTTAAATCATTGCAGAAAGGGACAAGTTTGCTGTAGTACAAATGTCTCACAGTACATCCTCTCACATTCTATCCTAATTTACTTGATAGTTACAAGAATTTAAAGAGACTTTAAACTCCACAAAACCAAGCACAAAGCTAAATAAAACCACGTTTTGAGTCCATGCTATTGCCCCATCCCAGAAGAACATAAGGTGGATAAACAGAACGTAAGGATTTAGGCAAGGTGAGAGATTTCGTGGGATTATACAGGCAATGAAAACACTGCTGAGCAGACACACAGTTGGTCTTTCAGGACACATCCAATATTTCATTTCTCTTACTCTAAGTACTCCAACCTAGACTTTCAGTTCCATCATAATGCAGCATTAAACTGGAAATTACAGAGTTTGTGCCACACACACCACCTCAGAATCATTATTGTACAGTGTAGTTTCATACTGGGCAGTAAAAGTTATTTTTCATCTATTCCAATTTTCCCCTTTATAACCTGAAGCATTTAAATGGAAGGCACATAATCAAATTGCACATGTTACAACTGCAAAGGTTATTTGCAAACTCATCCATGCATATTCAATATAACTTGATTTATTCTAGAAATAAAGCACATTAAAAATTGTAATGCAAATTTTTAATTGTTGCAAAGTTTTCCTGCTTTTGTAAAAGTCCACCAAGTTTGAGTGAGAGGCAAAAATCATTACTCTGGAAAAAACCCTTTTCACAGGACCTGACATTCAAGCAAAGTGGAAAAGCAAAAGTTGAAGTGAGAATTAGGTTAATACTTACCCTAGTCCCAGAGCCAAAACATGAGATATGAACAGAGATGGAATGAAAACCTTAAGAAATTCTGCAGAGAAAATGCCACCTTTTTTCATTGCTCCACTTTTTCTCATACTTAGAGACACTGAACGTTTAGGATGTCTGAAATGGAATTCCCTGGAAGAAGAGGGGGAGGGAGGAAAAATTCAACAAGACTTTTTTATTTCTTTCCCTTTTTTCTCATTTTTTTTGCACACAAATGCACAGATCTCTGTAGGAACTTTTTTTTTTTAAAAAGTACAAAGAGCTAGAGATCAAAGCCCGAGATCCCTTACACAGAGTAAGGAATCAAAGGTAATAAGAGGAGGGATTGTGGAGAGACCACTTACACAGACAGTATAGACACAAAGGGAGCAGGAGCTGCAGAGAGAGGTAGGTCCGAGAGAGGGAATTTCAGGATGTGATTTGTTAGCAAGAGGCCTCATTTTTTGTTCCAAACACAGATACAGAAGTCTGCCAGATTTAGACAGCATCCTCTATTTTAATAAAAATGCTTTGCATTCAAGGATCTCAAGGTTTCCCCTTCCGTGGATGAACATTACATATTTTACATAGAAAGAAAAAAAGGGACAGAGAATTTAGGAGACTTGCTCAACACCCTTCCATTCAATAAGCCAAGACTAAATCCCATGAATCCCAGCTCCAAGTACCCAGCTCTCCCATTAATTGTAATTTTGTCAAGAAACCTTGCAATCAGCTTGCTGTGGCTTTGTATCATCTTCAAGTCATTCTGTTGCTATTTTGATTTTCAGACTTCAGTGTTTTAATCTTTTTAGCCTCCCCACAGAGAAATCAATGAAATCAATCTCTTCCTAAGATGAACTTATTTTGATTGTGAGATTGTGACAATCCTTTCCTTCGTCTATTCATTGAAATATATTAATATTCATTAAAAACCCAGAGTTGAACTCACTTGGGAGGAATGTTTTCAGGCCTACTTGACCAGTCTGACACCCAGTCTGCACTTTTCTTCAAAACTTCCAATTCTTTCTCTCCTTCTACTGCTTCTTCTTCGGACTGAAACACACAGGGGACAAGCCTTGTAACACTCAATTAGCTCCTCCTCAGGGTGTTAAATTGAGAGTGACAACAACAGTGGTGACACGATAGGCACCAAATGGTGGCACCTGATAAACAAGTAAGTGTTCTGGGACTGCTGATTATTTCAAAGAGATTTGATTTTGCCAGCAGAAGTCAGGAAACCACGAATTCTATTAGTATATCCAGGATTTCCACGTCATTGCAATCTGTTTGCTTTTTTTAACTAACAAAAATAAAGGATTATTTTAATCCTAAATGTAATAAACCAGAACTGTGCAAAAAATATTTACAAATGGAAAAAAAACATTAGGTTGATGGCATTCCATTGAAAGTCCACAGAATATGACTAAAAGCATGGGAAGTCAAATAAAAAGATTTTAAAACAAGTATTTTGACTTCTTAAAGGTGTTTTTAGTTATTTAAAATTTGTATTACTTGCAACTAGTGGCTTCTACTGGGTGAATCCCAGATGCAGAAGGGAAAGGCAACTCGCTCTAATTGTATATAAAGATTTAACTTCACATCAACAGATGCAAATGTTACCATATAAGAAAAGAAATAAATCAGGAAGAGTAGAAAACACCACTGACTTTAACTTAGTATTAAAGCAATCTCCTGAGTGACTCTTATTTTAATAAGATAAACCACTTACAACATTAAATGAGAACCACAGCAAACCCAGAGGTGATCAAATAGCACAGGCACAAGTGAGATGCAGAGCTCACCAACACTGTCATTCAGACCCTTTTGGCTCTCAGGGAAGAGCTGCAACAGTCCCAGGTCTTTGACAAAATTAAATGCAAGGTTTCATTCTTCCAGGAATGCTTTTTATTTATATTGCTGAAGACAGCAAATTCTATGAAATGATCAAACTAAGAGTTCAGCATTAGTCTCCTCTCAGTTTGTGTTATGGAGATTACTCAGTGTCATGTGAGTGTCTGCACAGCAATCACTGAACACTCTGAAATCTTGGGCAGAAATATCAACATTTCAAACCCAGCTCTGACACTCAGGGCCAGCAGGGTTACACAGTAACATGACTACCAGGAAAGAGGCATTTCTCAGCTGTACACATGGAGACTTGTTTTTCCCTCACTCCAAAACTATTAATCCCTAAGTGAAATTTCAATTAAAACAGAATTTAAGTCTTTTGACATCACAAAGAGCTTGTTCTACCCCTCAAGCCTAGATCAAATATCCACAACTTACAAATGTATAGTTTAAAAGTTAAGGAAGAAAATACCTGAGAACTACTGTCTTTACTTGTGTGCATTTCCACATCAAAAGTTATCTGTCCATCATCTTGAGGTGACGGGCTAAAGGAAAATTGATTCTGTTACGTCATTTTGCCAACAAAAGCATCATCAGTGTAGATAAATCTCAGCTGAATAATTTACTCACGCACTCTGGACATTATTCAGCTGAGTTACAGACTGCACCACCCTTCAGATCCCAAATTAGCATTAGAAAGTCTTCCCAACCCCCCTATAATTTTGATTTTTTTTAAATTTATAATCCTACCTTTCTCACAGTGTTGACAGTTGCTCCCTAAAGCAAAGAAAGCACTGCCCAAAAGTTCAGCTGCTACAGAAAAGATGCAAATCCCTTTGTTCTTGTAGGGAACACTGCCAGTATTGTGAATTACATGTGTTTTTGTATCATTACAAGTGGAAACATCACACAGTTACCACGAGCCAGCAACTATTCCAAATACTGGAGCACAACAGACTTTTATTCCCTGAGAAAAAGCCTCAGCCATCCACAGGACAATAAATCGCAGGCAGAGTAGCCAACACTCCTTTACCTGTCACAGTGGGAACTACCTCTTGAACTGCTCTGTCCTGACTCGTGCTGGGCATCCAGGAGGATTTTTTCCATGTCTCCATTGTGGATGGAGGAGGAGGACGGGACGTGCTCCAGGCCCCCGTTCTTGCCGTTGCCATTGTCGTTGCTGTTGCCGTTGCCGTTCATCTGCAGCTCCACCCAGGAACCTGTGGGGCAGCCACACGTCACCCCACGGACACCCCAGCACTGAACACACCTTCAGTTTATCAACTGCCCCCAGAGGGAAACACCGTCATGCTGGGCTCAGATAACACCCCTGACCTGGGAGATCATAAACACGGGACAGAGGCAACAGTGACAGCCTTCTCCTTCCAGCAGCACAAACTCCCCTAAAAGCTGCAGTGCTGCTCCCTAACTCTGGAGCTGGTCAATAAAACATCCTCTTTCTCCCCTGCTATTAACACTTTAATCAGCCACATCTTTCTGCAGCTTGGAGCTGTAATTAGTTATGGCTCTACATTCCTTTCTCAAACAGAATTTTCATCCCTATGACCCCTACTACAAAACTCCCCACGTGCAGCTTTATATTCTCCTTTCCTTTACTTCCAAAGGCCTTGGATCAATCCCTGATTTTTCTATACATGCCATTCTCAGGTCCCATTCAGCTTGCTTTGCCCTGGCACAAACATCTCCCAAAAAGCTCCAATTTACTGTTTTTTTTGACATTTTTTGGGTAGTTTTACCTATCGGACATCTACATGTGCACTGATATTCAACAAAGAGCAAGAGTGTACCACAGATGACAAGAGCAGCTGCTAAAAAGTTCACACACTGTGTAGTTAAATTGAGGATTTTTAATTTTAAATGTATTTATTTATATTTTATGTACAGATTAACTAAATATGAGAGTACTGATACATTCCTTAGCTGTTTCAAATGGAAACTAACAGGTTTTTGTGATATATATCACCACAACTCCTGTGTAATTTAGTTTATTCCACCTGAAGGCAGGCACTTTCAGGGATTTTTTGTATTTGGTTGACTATTTTTTAAAGTTTGGACATCTTCCCCCATGAGTTAAAAACATCCAAGTAAGAAAAGCAAACCTGAAGTTACAAATATCACATCTGAAACTACTTTTTGAGCATTATTTGTACAAGTTCTACATTTTAGCACTGATTTTTGATTCCTGAAATACATCTGGGAGTGCCTGTACTTATTTTTGTAGCATGGTTTTGTCTCTGGGAGCTCTATCAGTGACACAGGAAGGGATGTTTAATAACGAGCCTGTTTTCAATTTGATTTGGTGAAGAATTCACCTTTAGCACCAATTACTCAGGATGCCATGACAGTGATGCCCATGGAAGCATCACGCTCTGGTGGTTCCCATCTCGGGTTCCCCAGGCTGGATTCACAAACAGGGAATTTTGGGAGTGCACAGGCACCAGCTCAGCACAGAACATTTGGCTTTTCAGACAATCAAGTGTTAACTGTTAAGAGGCAGCTTTGCTCAGTCAGCATCAGACAGAGGCTGTGTTATTCCAGATTGGTGATGATTGCTGCTGTCTGAATTCCTAAATAAAACAGCCAAACTCTAAGAGCTTCATCAGGAAGTTTGTTCTGCCTTGCAGCAGCAAGAGGCCACACCTGCAAAAAAGCAGGTGGCAAATGCAGTTATCAAGTGGTCAAAAGTTAGGTAAAAAATGTTTTGTATTCCCCAACAACCACTTCTGGCTATTGGAAAAGCAGGACCTGCAAAGCATCTATGATTAAAAAAATCAGCAGAGGGCAAAGGTGTGAGGGGATGTGTTCTGACACTGGAACACCCAGAGGATGGTGATCAGATCTCGTTACTCTGCCACACAGCTCGAAACCCACTGCCACAAATCAAATTTTTATTGATTTACTTCATGCTAACAAAGTCTGTGTTTATCTAAAACACACCGTGGCCGTAGTAGGAAGAAATCCCAGATTCTCCTGTAGTAAAGAGTCCCTGGGAGCTGAGCAGGAGCTGACATGAGGAGCAGCACGTTCCCAGCTGAGCTCACTGGGAGTGACTCAAAGCACATCCAAGGAAGCATAATCTGCCATCAAGCTGCAGCACGCTCCCCGCTCTCACAGCTGCTTTGGGACAGGGAGCAGCGACCACCATGGGCTGCAAGGACTGACCACAGGGACATAAATCTCCATTTCATTAAAGAGATGGACAGGAATGTATTGGAGAATAAACTGCCCAAATAACAGAGAGTGGGGTTTGCCTGGAGCTCTTTTGAGAGCTGAGTTACATTATTCACCTGCCTGAAAACTTTTAATTTTATCATATTTCTACTTGACAGTAGAATAGAAATGTAGCAGAACGAAGAGTGGTAGAATTGAGAGCAATAGAATTAAGATATGTGGCAGCACCTCCTTCCTTTCACAAATCACATAACACACACTCTTTGGAGAAAACAAAACAAAACAAACCAAACAACTGTTCATATGAATGGTATTTTTCTCCAGAATTGCTTGACTTTTGGTTTTGCTCTGTGGCTAATTATTTTACTATGAATTTATATATACTGACTTAAATTCTATGATTTTCCCATAACTTGGTGACCTGTTTTAACAGCAGGAGCTAAACATGTTGATGGAAGATGGAGATATCAAAGGCAATATATAAATTAAATACCTGTATACATTTTATATATATAAAAATACTCCAAAGTAGAAACTCACAAGTAGTCTGAGGCATGATAAACCTGAATAAACTAACAAATATCACTTTTACAATGAAATTTACAATGAAGTACAGCATTAAAAAAAAAAAAAAAAGAGGGAAAGGAAAAGAAAGCCAACCAGATTCCCACAGTGGTAATTATTAAGCAGATTTTCCATGACAGAGCTAAATGGGCTCTTGCTTAAGGTGGGATTTCTTCTGGTCAATATGTAACAGAGCTTTATAATAATTAAAACATAGGAAGCATCTAGAATTCCCAAAGCAAGCAACTTGGGTTTTTTATCTCTATGAACCCAACAAAGCCCAGGTTACCAGTTTTATCCCAGCTCTTCTGCCCTCCAAGTGCTAAGGGATCTTTCAATAGAAGGCCCTAAACGCACACAAATGACACAGAGAACACCATGAATAGGTGTCTGAGCTCATTAGCCTGAAAAGTTCACTGAAAAGCTGAGAGGATGGCAGAAAATGCCCCTCTCCCACCAAAGCATTGTGCAGGGGCTGAACATCTGAAAGCAGCACTAAGCCTGTGTGGAGCTGATTGGGTGCATTTGTTTTGTTCCCGGAGCACAGAGTGTCCAACATTTCCTCTCCTACCTTGTGCTCAGCTCCTCCAGCAAACACTGAGCTGGGTGAGCCTCGAGTGCTGAGCCAGAGCTCCGTGGGCAGATCCGTCCCAGCTTATAGGGCTCATCACTCCCATCACCCAGCAGATTAATGAGCCCCACAGAGTTACCACATCCCCAGAAATTAAAAATAAAATATACAGGAATCAAATATGGCCATTTCTGATGTAAGCATCAAGTCAGGGACCTGGCATGTGGAAACTTTGACAGCCTAGTTGTTATTTAAGTATAACAGGCCTGAATAATTAGCCAAAATTATTGACTCAGGTAACATTGTTTATGGTGCCATGGTTATCACACGATGCACAATAGCAGCATTATGAAATGGGTTTCAGTCTCTTTTCCTTTCATACAATTCCCACCGAGTTACGGAAAAGCAACCAACGAGTTTATTTTGTGGTGAGCTAAACTTCATCGAAAACCACGGAGATTACAGTTAATCATTAATGCAATTTATTCACCTCTTCTATCCTGACAATTTAGAGATTAAAGGACACACCGAAGCAGCTGTTCATAACGAAGGGAAAGCATTTGCTGAGTAAATACCAGACCCTATAGATGTGCCTTACTAGTGTTATCCCAGGAACAAAAGGATGCAGCAAAGCAGCTGACAGAGATGCCGGATATAGAGGGAAATAGCTCACGTCAGTGCTATTGACTCAGCCACTGAATAAACTCATTCCCACAGCCACGCTCCTCCCCCTACCCCGCTGTATCCCCATCCTCGCTGTTCGGGTAAACTCCGTGTAACCACGCAACGAGCTCGGCCGCTCCTCGGAGAGCTCCATCGCCCTCAGCCTCCTGCGAGAGGCGGCGGGTCGGGTCCCCTCGGGCGCAGCACCCGGAGCCCGTTTAATCCATCCCGGCGGTGCCCCGCGTCCTCTCGGCTCTCCCGGCCGCGCTCCCGCCGCCCGAGGGGCTGCCCGGGGCCGCGGGTGTTCCCGGTGCAGGCCGGCCCCTCCCGGGCCCCGCCGCTGCCCCTCTGCCCCCTGCGGCCACCGCCGGCCCATTTATACCCGCTCCGCCGNACCCGCGCCCGCGCACGTCCCGCGCGTGCGCAGGGCGGGAGCGGAGGGAGCGGCGGCGGCGTGAGGGGGACGGGACGCGGGCAGAGCGAGCGACAGCGGCGGCCGGGCTGGGAAAGCGCTCCCGGACCACCGAGTCTGACCGCTGGCCCATCCCAGGCTGTCCCCAGCCCAGAGCTCCGAGTGCCGCCTCCAGCCCTTCCTGGGACACCTCCAGGGATGGGGATCCAAACCTCCCTGGGCATTTCCAAAGCCTGATCCCCCTTTCCATGGGGAAATTCCTGCTGCTGCCCACCCTGAGCCTCTCCTGGCCCAGCCTGAGGCCGTTCCCTCTCCTCCTGTCCCTGTTCCCTGGGATAAGATCCCAAATCCCCCCGGCTGTCCCCTCCTGGCAGAAAGTTGTGCAGAGCCACAAGGGCCCCCTGAGCCTCCTGTTCATCTTGTTATCTTCATTCTATCTGGACATCACTTCAAGGTTTATTTGGAGGTCTAGACTCTTTCTAGTGGAGTTTTGTGACTTCAGTCTCATCGTTCTCACACATGTATCTATATTTATAGGCATTTTTTGTCCCAAAAGCTGGAGCCTTTTACACTGTAAAGTCCTCCCATCAACAGCCATGAGAGTATAAATTGTGTTTTTTTCATTACTCCACTCACTGTAGGAGTTCAGCAACACCATCAGAGAGAAGCCACACAGACACAACTCCAGTAGTGTTCTTTGTTTACTCCCCTTTACAAATGTGAAGAAATCACTTAATTTCTGTGTAGAACTATTTTAAGCTAGAGAAAAAGCTTGTATGCACAAGTGTCACGTTCACCCCATATTATAACGTATTATT